ATCTTGTATCTCTTGTACCTTAGTCCAATCCAGTGTATCATCCCCATCCTCATAACTCCCAGACCCATCACTCCTACAGAAACCCATGAATGATTTTTCATCTGTGGGAGCAGTAAGTATATCCCGGATCTTTTTCCTTTGTCGCTCCTCATCCGACTCTTGCTCCCAAGTAACCCACTTAGTTCCCCTATTCACATCCACTGTATCTCCTTACTGTCCCTCACTCATTGACCCTTCGCTATCAGAAAACCCTTTGGTAGTGCCATAAGTATATCCCAGATCCTTTTCCTCTGTTGTTCCTCATCCAACTCTTGCTCACGAGCACTCCTTTTACCCCTTCTGACACCCATACTACCACTTGCAACGTTACAGGCTCTACTACAACACAATATTAAAACACACCATTTAAAACCATCCTGGTCATGTTTAAAGGTCCACTTCCGTGAGGGGTCTAAGTCCAGGAATGGGTTGACATCATGATTAACTTAATGTCCAGTCCAGGTGAACACAAAGAGGTCGTCCGGGAAGCCCCAAAGGGTGGATTGGGGTTACTTGATGGATTAATGGGTTGGTCTCGCCTGCAGCAGGTCCACTGTTCCATATCAGTGAATATCCTCAGTCTCATTAATGGAAACCAGGAAGTTTCCCAACACATGCAAATGAATTTATTAATAGGAGGGAAATTTGTCAGTGACAAGGAGTTTTGGTTCACAGAAACACAATGGAAATTCCATCAATGGGACTCTGGCACCTTCAGGCTTAAATACATTAGCTGGCTTTAGTCCATTTCCTGTTCCACGGCATGAGACTGAGCAAGACAGTTTTACAAATCTGGGGTTTTAGTTACACTTAGGATTCATTTCATTTGATATAGTTTGTACAATTTCATACAGGTGGATTTCATAAACTAGGGGATATAGTTGGCTGGACTTTTTTGGAGTGGTGGAGGAGTGGTATTTTGACATTGCAAAATTGATTAAAAGAAAAAAACTTATTCTTAATTAATCACTGTTCATGTTTAATCATGAGGGGTGGTCAATTTCTCAATAACAATATGATAGCCATGTTTCAGTATGTAAAAGGATGTCACATTGAACAGGGGGCAAGTTTGTTTTCTATTGCTCTGAAGACCAGGACATGGAGCAATGGATTTAAATTGCAGGAAAAGAGAATCTACCTAAACATTAGGAAGAACTTCCTGATAGTAAGGATTGTTCAATGCTATGGACTCCTGGGAGTTGTAATTTGGTGACGTGTGAGCACACACCAGCATTAAAGACCTTGTAAAAGTTAAATTATTCTATATCATTGAGCAGTGATAGTAGTGTCACACTGTATTCAATCTACAGTATAGATGTACCCTAAAACATAACTTTACCATTCTGTTTCAAAAATAACTTGGTCTTAACAGGACTCTGGTAATTTTAATAACGACTGCGAAGATCTCAGCGAGCTGTAGATGCCAAATATTGTTTTCCAATTCACTAAAATATCCTAGAACACTAGCCTCTTTGCAGCCTATGACTGTATTAAGATCTCTTCGTTTTTGTGAAAAATTTCTGTGGCACTTATCTGTTGAAACGATATGCAAAGCAGCTTGCAAAAGCCACCCTCTGTGCAAACCGCAAGTCATTACTTGGAAAGAAGATAATTTTTTTGACTGCAGGGACATCCCTTTAGGCTGAAACTATATCAGCTGTTTGAAGGAACATTTCCTGGAAATCTACGCAAAGCAGATGGGACCTTGCCCACGCGCAGATGCCTTCTGCTCTCGCCGGCTGCCAATGCAACTGCGATTAGACAAACTGTGGAACAGTAATTGAGAGATCTCACCATTGCTAAGCATGTCTTGTTTTTGAAAGAACACCAGAAAAAGCCTTGTCTCTTAACAAGCAGAAGGGGAAGAAATATTTCTGAGTGCTTTTCATTTTCTATTGCCTCATTATAGACACTCCACACATATCTCTGTGTTGTTAAAATGCCAAGTCTTTAGCGGTGCATCTTCACTGTAGGTACACCTCTAAATGTGGTTTCCCACCACTTGATGTGCCATAACTCAATGTAATGGGTTCATGGGATTTGTAGTTTGGTAAGGTACCAGCACTCTTTGGCAGAGAAGGTCAAACATATTGTAAAACTACAATTCCCATGATTTCATAATACAGTTAAAGTAGTGTCAAGCTGCATTCATTCTATAGCATAGGTCTTACCTTCTGGTCTCCAGTTTGAAGTCTAGCATTTTAATTCCTGTTCTTGGCCTATGTTAATGAGATTGGTGTTAGAAATTAATTTTGTGTTTCTTATTTTATCTCATTGGCTTTTCCCTGTTCAGTTCTAAGCTGAGCTTTTCAGCTCTTATGCAGGCTTATTATATCATTTTGATATTCAAATTGTTTTACATTATTTCCCTGCAAAACAGCCATGCTGTCGTTTATTTAATGCAACAACAGGGATGGACTAAGTTGCTCCTGGGCTAAGACTGTTTAGTAGGGTATTTATTTATCGTATCAGGGGCAACCAGACAATTGTATTACATTTCTAACAGAACAAAACAAACAAACAGACAAAACACAAAATTTGCAAGCTTGGTAGTTGATTTAGTAGGGTAAGGATGCATCTGTATTGTGGAATGAATGCGTTTGACGCCGCTTTAACTGGCATGACTCAATGCTATCGAATTTGATTTGTAGCTTGGTGAGGAACCAGGATTCTTTGTTAGGAAAGGCTAAAGACCTCATACAATCATAGAATCATCATAGAGTTAGAAGAGACCTCATGGGCCATCCAGTCCAACTTCCTGCCAAGAAGCAGGAAAATTGCATTCAAAAGCACCCCCGACAGATAGCCATCCACCCTCTGTTTAAAAGCTTCCAAAGAAGGAGCCTCCACCATACTCTGGAGCAGAGAGTTCCACTGCTGAACGGCTCTCACAGTCAGGAAGTTCTTCCTAATGTTTATGAAACAGCAACTCCTGTGATTCCATTTGATGTATCCGTGGCAGTTAAAGTGGTGCCAAATTGCATTCACTCTACAGAGTTAATGCATCCTAAGTTTACTAGCCAGATGTTTACTGTTGACAAGCAACACTTGGGCTCAGCAGCTATCCCATCTTGTATATGTATGTGTGTTTAATCTTTAAAGAGAATTTTACAATAACAATTCAAACAATGCAATAACTCCCAAACTTTGGCCCACTATATGCTTTAGGCTTCGACTCCCAGAATCTTTATGCTTGCTACTGTTTCTGGGAGATGCGATTTGACAATCTCTGCAAAACCAAATGTTGAGAACCAGGGAAAGAGCAGATGTCTTCAAACAGAAGACTGGCTTTTGTAATATAGGACATAAGGCCGCCCTCCTTTGAATTATACATTTGTGTCTGCAAACCACCAACAAAGAAGCAAAAGAAACTATTCTACTAAGGTAAGGATTACCAGAGTGAAAACAAGAGGGATCTTGTATCTTGTGTAGAGGAGCAGTTGCTTGTTACCTGTTCATACATGCTTCACCTAAGAGAAAGCCAGCAGGATTCTTAACAAAAGAAAAAAGCAAATATAAATCGTAATCACATAAGAGATTTGTTTAGCAATTGTATTGGGGTAGGTCCATGATTCATCTTTATTTTATCTTTAACTAGCTTGGGTACCCGGCATTGCCCAGGTTATTTGAAAAAGTAAATGTTTAATTGTACAAAATGCATGTTTGTGGGTAAAATGCAACTCACATCATGCCAGGTTAACTTCAAAAAACACAAGTACTTAAAGTTTGTTGGGCAAGTTCGCTCTAGGTGCATCACTGGTTGGGTTCAGTGTGCTCTCTGGCTGTGGGGGAAACAACAACTCCCACTATGGTGAGTCAGTCTCCTCAAACCCCTCCAGTAGGTTCTGTGTGCCAAGTTTGGTCCAGGTTCATCATCAGTGGAGGTCACAGTTTCTCTGTTGTGGGTGAACTACAACTCCCAGAAAGGAAGGTCAGTTCCCTCCAAACCCCTCCAGTAATCAAATTTCGGCATATCAGGTCCGTGTGCCAGGTTTGGTCCAGATCCATCTGTGTTTGGGTTCACAGTGCTGTCCTGATGCAGGGTGAACTACAACTCCTCCAAATCAAGGCGAACTTACTTCAGCTTCAGACTGCTACCATTGTATGTCATTTTGAAATTTCAGCTTTCAGTTCATATGAAAACTGTGTGTGCACAATTCTGTCTGTCTGTTTGTCTTTGTATATCTGCCATTTTTTTTGACTAATCTGACATTGCATTTAAAGGGGAATGCTAGTTCATAAACCTGAATACCATAATGAATATCTTATTATTTAAGAAAAGTAAATAATGCCTGGCTACTCACTGGCTATTAGAGGCAAAGATGAAGTACTTTGGCCACATAATGAGAAGATAGGACCTCACTACCTCTGAGGATGCTTGCCATAGATGCAGGCGAAACGTCAGGAGAGAATGCCTCTAGAACATGGCCATATAGCCCGAAAAAACCTACAACAACCCAATCTCTGAGGATGCCTGCCACAGATGTGGGCGAAACGTCAGGAGAGAATGCTTCTGGAACATGGCCATACAGCCTGGAAAACTCACAGCAAGCCAGAGAACAAATAGATATATTCCAACTGAGATTCAGAAGCCAGAGGGAAGGGAAGGGATTTCCTCAGTCTATTCTAAAGCTGACTAAGTGTTCCTCACTGAGGACTACAGACTTGAACAGTGTGGGGTTGACTTCTAGGTGTTTTGGACTTCAACTCCCACCATTCCTAACAGCCTCAGGCCCTTTCCTTTCCCCCCTCAGGGGGAAAAGGAAAGGGCCTGAGGCTGTTAGGAATGGTGGGAGTTGAAGTCTAAAACACCTGGAGTGCCCAAGTTTGCCTTATTCCTGCTCTACAATGTGGATGCACCCTTTATCGCTATGCGTGCTCGCTCTCTCCTTTTCCTATCTCTGCGGGCACCCTCCTCAACTAGAAGCGGAAGAAACCCGAGTGGCCGCTCCAGCCGCCTCGGAGGTCTATCTCTATGCCCCTGTGCCTTGAGTCCTGGAAAAGGAGGGTAAAGGTCGCTCCGAGTGGCCACACAGCGAGGAGGAGGAGGCAGCAGCAGCAGCCATGGCGGAGAAGGCCAAGCCCGCCCAGGCGCCCGTCAGCCCCGTGAAGAACTTCTTCGCCGGGGGCTTCGGGGGCGTCTGCTTGGTTTTCGTGGGGCACCCGCTGGACACCATCAAGGTGAGCTTTGAGGAAGACCTCTGGGGAGAAAGACTACAAACCCCAGCATGCCTTGCGCGGCCAGGTTCCGAAAGCGACGGGTAGAGAAGAGATCCAAACAAGTACCCCTTTTGACTGTTTCCAAAGGGCTTTTGAATGACAAGCGAGCGTGGATCCGTCTCTGAATACAATAATTTTGGGTGCATCTCCACTGTTGAATGAATACAGTTCGACCCCCTACTTTAACTTCTATGGCTCATTTCTGTGGGATCATGGGAGTTGTAGTTTGTTGAGGCTCCAGCACTTTGGCTAAAGTAGGCGAAAGAGACATTGTGAAAGTACACCTCCCAGGTTTGCATAGCACTCAGGGCCCTTCCACACAGCCCTATATCCCAGAATATCAAGGCAGAATAACCCTCAATATCTACTTTGAACTGGAATATATGGCAGTGTGGACACAGATAATCCAGGGCCCTTCCACACAGCCCTATATTCCAATTCAAAGCAAATAATATGGAATTTTATTCAGCTGTGTGGCAGAAAGTATTTTATTTATCATGTCAGGAGTGAACCAAAACAGTTGTATGCATTTAAAACAAACAAACAAACTAAACACAAAATTTGCAGACTTGGTATTCTATTAAATGTCCTTTGACCAATAGTTGGCCACTTGGAGTGCCTCTGGTGTTGCTGCAAGAAGGTCCTCCATGGTGCATGTGGCAGGGCTCAGGGTGCATTGCAGCAGGTGGTCAGTGGTTTGCTCCTCTCCACACTCGCATGTCGTGGATTCCACTTTGTGGCCCCATATCTGAAGGTTGGCTCTGCATCTATTGGTGCCAGAGCACAGTTTGTTCAGCGCCTTCCAAGTCGCACAGTCCTCTGTGTGCCTAGGGGGGAGTCTCTCATTTGGTATCAGCCATTGGTTGAGGTTCTGGGTTTGAGCCTGCCACTTTTGGACTCTCGCTTGCTGAGGTGTTCCAGCAAGTGTCTCTGTAGATCTTAGAAAACTATTTATAGATTTAAGTCGACGTACTGGCTGATACCCAAACAGAGGATGAGCTGGAGATGTCTCTGCCTTGGTCCTTTCACTATTGGCTGCTACTTCCCCTGCAGATGTCATGTAGTGCAATACTGGCTAAGCAGTGTAATTTTTCCAGTTGTGTAGTGCGCAGACACCCCGTGATAATGCGGCATGTCTCATTAAGAGCCACATCCACTGTTTTAGTGTGGTGAGATGTGTTCCACACTGGGCATGCATACTCAGCAGCAGAGTAGCATAGCGCAAGGGCGGATGTCTTCACTGTATCTGGTTGTGATCCCCAGGTTGGCTGAGAGGAGACATCATAGCCATGTATAAATATGTGAGAGGAAGTCATAGGGAGGAGGGAGGAAGCTTGTTTTCTGCTGCCCTGGAGACTAGGATGCGGAACAATGGCTTCAAACTGCAAGAAAAGAGATTCCATCTGAACATGAGGAAGAACTTCCTGACTGTGAGAGCCGTTCAGCAGTGGAACTCTCTGCCCCAGAGTGTGGGGGAGGCTCCTTTGGAAGCTTTTAAACAGAGGCTGGATGGCCATCTGTCGGGGGTGCTTTGAATTTGATTTTCCTGTTTCTTGGCAGGGGTTTGGAATGGATGGCCCATGAGGTCTTTGGCCTTCTCTGCCAAAGAAGGAAGGCAACTCACCAAACTACAAATCCCAGGATCCCATAGCATTGAGCTATGGTAGTTAAAGTGGTGTCATAATTCATTAATTCTACATTGAGGTCTGTCATTGATAGGGTCGCCATAAGCGAAAGTAGACTTGACAGCAATTAATAGCAACAGTAATAACAAATGGACATCAAGTTCTACATATTTGAAATGAACCTATAATGTGTTGCTGTGAGTTTTCCGGGCTGTTTACGGCCGTGTTCCAGAAGCATTCGGAACATGGAGAGAATGCTTTTGGAACATGGCCATACAGCCTGGAAAACTCATAGCAACCCTGTGATTTTGGTCATGAAAACCTTTAACAACATATTAAACCTCTATAGACCATTCCTGCTACAAGCTTTCTTGTTGTAAGCAATGTGGTTTATATAAGATGAGCGATACCAGTCCAGCAACATCTGCAAAGCCAGAAGTTGCTCAACCCTGACACACATCTTTATTCACAAAGGAGAAGAAATGGATCGCTCATATTTAGGCAGGGAAGCAAGCTCGTAAAATACTCCTCTTTTCACGCACCTCTACACCCATTGCCTTCTCAGAAGTAAAGTGAAAGTTAGCACAGTAGATGGCTTATAATTTACTTGGCAGTTTTGACAGTCTGGATGAGAGCGAACAAATTGAAATTGAATTCAGACAAGACTGAGGTCCTCTTGGTCAGTTGCAAGGTTGAACAAGGCATAGTGTTACAGCCTATGCTGGATGGGGTTACACTCCCCCTGAAGACACAGGTTCGCTGCTTGGGAGTGATCTTAGATCCATCGCTAAGCCTGGAATCCCAGATCTCAGCAGTGGCTAGGGGAGCTTTTGCAGAATTAAACCTTGCGCACCAGTTGCGCCCGTACCTTGGGAAGTCAGACTTGGCCGTAGTGGTCCACACTCTCATTACATCCCGAATAGATTACTGCAACACACTCTACATGGGGTTGCCTTTGAAGACTGTTCGGAAGCTCCAACTAGTCCAATGGACAGCAGCCAGGTTGCTCACCAGAGTAGCATACAGAGAGCATACAACTCTCTGCTACGCCAGCTCTGCTAGTTGCCAATCTGCTACGGAGCACAATTCAAATTGCTGGCTTTAGCCTATAAAAACCTGAACGGTTCTGGCCCATCTTACCTGTCTGAACGCATCTCCCTCTATGAACCATCGCGAAGTCTAAGGTGGACGGGAGAGGCCCTGCTTGCAAACGCGACTGGTGGAGACGAGAGACAGGGTCTTCTCAGTGTTGGCCCTTCACCTGTGAACTCTCTACCCAGTGACATTAGATTGGCCCCCTCCCTCATGTCCTTTAGAATGAAACTCAAAACCTGGTTATGGGACCAAGTGTTCAAAAAGTAGAGGCATCAGTTTAGAATTAAACCCAGTTTGTGTGAATGACAATGAACTGACCTGGACTATGATTTCAAACCTGGGTGATTTAAACAATGTTTTAGTAATTTTAAAGCATTAACAAATTGTTTCAATGGTTTTTATCATTTATTATTGTTGTTGGCATTGAATGAATGCCTGTTGTGAAACTGCCCCGAGTCCCCCTCTGGGGGTGAGAAGGATGGGATAAATAAATAACGTGAATAACCCCAAGTTTTAAATAAAAAAAAACCCGGATTACCCAGCACTCTTAGTTTTGTGCTGGTATCTCATCCTTATCTCATCCTTATCAGTGTCTAACATACTAAGTGTAACAAGTAGATCAGGGATGGGAACTACTACATGATAAGTGCAATGCTCATATGACTCCTTAGATAAATCTATGGGTGCATCTAGGCTGCAGCTTGATGCCACTTTAACTGACAGAGCTCAATTTTATGGAGTTGTAGTTTTACGAGGCCTTTAGCCTTCTCTGCCATAGAGTGCTGGTGACCTACCAAACTACCAATCACAGAATTCCATAGCATTGAGTCGTGGTAGTTAAAGTGGGGTCAAATTGCATTCATTCTGCTGTGTACTGTAAATGCACCCAAGGGCTATTATGAAGGGTTCTGAAGACAGATCATGACATTTTGGAACCCCCAAAAATCTTGAGCCTTAATGAATCATAGAGTTGGAAGAGACTCCAAGGGCCATCAAACCCAATTCTGCCATGCAGGAACATAGAATCAAAGCACACACACCCTTTTTTTGTCATGAGAAACTGCAAGTCGCTTCTGGTGTGAGAGAATTGGCCATCTTCAAGGACGTTGACCAGGGGATGCCTGGATGTTTTGATGTTTTGCCATCCTTGTGAGAGACTTCTCTCATGTCCCCGCATGAGGAGCTGGAGCTGATAGAGGGAGCTCAACCACGCTCTCCCTGGATTTGAACCTGCAACCTGTTGGTCTTCAGTCCTGTGGTACAGGGGTTTAACCCACTGCGCACCCCTGATAGATGGCTATCCAGCTTCTGGCTGATTTTTATGCAGAGATAGATGACCAGTTGTCAGGGTTGTTATGATTCTATGTTCCTGCATAATAAACTGTTTTCTCAGTTTTTTGTTGTTATTTTAAAAAATTATGATTTGCTGCCATTATTTTCTGGATTTCCTTTTATTTTTCTGCAAATTCCAAGCCTTGCAACATGAGGCTGTATTATTTCCTTTCCATCTCAATGCTCTCTATGAGCTTTGGTGACTTAGCTTATTGAAGCAACTGGCAAAATTTCCTTTGAGCGAGATATTATTATTATTTGATACACAACAAAGATTAGTACACAGCAAACAAGATCACTGTGCTGGCTGATGTATTGGATCACATGTCAGACACTTCCCAGGTGTCTAGGACTGTGTGATGTATCCCAGATGTCTAGGACTGATCCAAGTAAGATAGCCTTTTGCAGCTGGCAGATGGTAATTTTGTCAGCGCCGATTGTTTTCAAGTGCATGCCAAGATCTTTCGGAACTGCACCCAGTGTGCCAGTCACCACTGGGACCACCTTTACTGGCTGGCACTAGAGTCTTTGCAGTTCGATCTTTAAATCCTCGTATTGTGTCAGCTTTTTCAGTTGCTTTTCACCAATTCTATTATTAATAATAATAATAATAATAATAATAATAATAATAATATCCTACTTTTTCTCTCCACAAGGAGACTCAAAGCATCTAATTCTCCCTGTTGTTTTGATTGTCTTAATAAGAGTGTTGCAATGGAGCTTTCGAGTAATATGGGGTGGCTCCTAGAACATCTGGGGAAATTGTTTTGTAGCACAAGTCCTATCTGCTTGATTTATTTTTCCCACCATGCAAGATGAACAGGATAAACCTGTTGACTGAAATGTCTTAGCCTTAGGGGAAAGGAAGGACAGAAAGGCAAAGAGATGTGCTGCCAATCTCTTGATAAG